GTTGGGCTAACAGAGAAGATACTGTTGTTACTGTTGTATATTTAAGACTAGTGGATAACGATGTGAAGCATAGCCCTGTCATCTGTGTGACAGATGACAAAGACCTGGATCAGGTGGCTTGTGACTCATAACTACCTGAGGGGCGATACTTACACTGTCTGTGCGTCAGTTTCCTCAGGAGTAAAATGGAGGTAGTGGACTGTAGGAATTAATGTATCTGACATACTTAGAACTGGGATAGAACCAGATACATGTTGTTGTTGTTGTTGTTAAGTGCTGTTGAGTTGGTTCCGACCCATAGCGACTGGGTACGGAGTTTCTGAGGAGCAGCTGGTGAGCTTGAACCACCAACCTTGCAGTTCAAATGACTTTGCAGTCTGGCACATTAACCAACAGTGCCACACCAGGACTCCAGGTACATGTTAGGTGTTCAATAATTAATTGTTCTGTTAGAGGATAAGCAAATGACAGATGGATTATCTGAACATTTTGCTCTTTATATTCCTCACGGGGAGAGGGTCTTATTAAAGATGGAAGAATACCAGCAGGAAGCTTTTGCCCTTTTGGGCTTTGATGTCTGTGAGCATCAGAGCCCAAAAGTTTGCAGTACCAGAGCCTAGGCCTGGCATGTAGCAGGATCCTAGTAATTATTGACCAGTTGGATGGATGGGTTGGATTGGCTGTGAATGGGGGAGGGGGAGGGGCTGCACGTCTGCCTAGGTTCTTGACAAGAATCTTTCTGGGGTTGTTAACCTAAGCCATATGCCTTTGGTAAAAGACATCTTCCTTCTCTGGTGCTTCTTCATACCAAAGTGTGTCTGTGGTGGCCATTCTGCTTGTACCCTGCGCCTTGGAAGTGTGGAATCTGTTGTAAGTGCCAAAGGCCATTCCTGATGGCTCCTGTTTTCCTCCCCAAACACTCTTGAGATTGTGGGAGTTTAATAGTCCTGATAGGTCTCATATTCCCCGGGGTGAATTTAAGTAGAACTATGTTAACAGAGCTCTCTTACTCAAGTCTCCGATACACCCTGTCATTCACGTGCTATGGTCAGTACAGTGGGCTCTTGTTGGCTAGCTGTGTGTAGTGGCCTTGCATGGCCAAGAGAAAGCTTTGACCTTGATACTTCAACTTTTCCCCCTTGATATCTTTCAACTTTGCCTCCAGATCTGCTGTTATCAGGATTAGGATGAAGCACTGGACAATAAGGTCTGTTTGAACCGCAAAGTTGGTGACTCAAACCCACCAGCCATTCCTTGGAAACCCTACACAGACAGGGTCACTAGAGTCAGAACGGACTCGATACCATTTAACTACAACAACAGAAAAGCAAAATACAGAATCCTGATGGGACAAGATCATTTTGAACCTCAAGGTCAATGGCTCAAACTCATCAGCTGCTCCTTGGAAATCCTACACAGGGTCACTGTGACTTGGAACTGATTTGACAGTACTTAAGTCCTGGTGTGGCGCTGTGGACTAATGCATCAGACAGCAAAGTCGTTTGAACTGCAAAGTCAGTGGTTCAAGCTCACCAGCTGCTCCTTGGAAACCCTGTACAGGGTCACTGTTGGTCGAAATCGACTCAGTGGCACTTAACAACAACAACAGCAAGCAAAATAAGGATGTCCAAGAGTATTAAGTTGCCTGTAGCTTGTTTGGAAAGGTGCCCTTATGGCTTAGTGGGTTACACATTGGCCTGCTAACTGCAGGGTCAGCAGTTTGAATTCACCAGGCATTTGCAGGAAAAGGAGGAGGCTTTTTGTTTCTGTAAAGATTTATAGCCTCAGAAACTCTATACAGGGTTGCTTTGATTGGGAACCAATTCAGTGGCATACAGCCAGCCAAGCAAAATAAAGTACTCCTCTTTTCAGGAAAGGGTACCCAAGGGTAAGGTGCCTGTATCCAGTTTGGAAAGACGCCCCAGTAGCATAATGGTTACATGTTAGGCTACTGGCTACAGGGTCAGCGGTTTGAATCCACCAGCCACCCTTTCTAAGACAGATGAGACTTTCTGCTCCCGTAAAGATTTATAGACTCGAAAACCCTACACCAGGTTATTATGAGTCAGAACTGACTTCACAGCCCACAGCAGGAATGATAACAACATGTTGTGTGTGCTGTGGAGTCACTTCCAACCCATGCTGACCCCAGGAGGCAGAGTAGAATGGGGTTTCCTTGGCTGTAATCCTTGTGGAAGCAGGTATTGTTACATGACATTGAGTCACTGCCAACTCATATGACTGGTTAGGGTTTCTTTTCCCAGGGATGAATGACATTTATTGTGTTTCAAAACAAAAGGAAACTTGGAAATGGCATTTTGAGTGGGAAGTGAGAGTGAGAGGTGATTTTGAGAGGATGAGAGCCATTTGAGTCTTATTTTAAATGTTGGAAGAATAGACAGAGAAAGGGAGAGAAAAGAATGACATTAAATTCCTTCCTCTAGAAAAACTGTCCCCAAGAACCCTATATTGCCCTAACTAACTGTCTCATCCTCATCCCAGTCAAGTATCTGCCAATAGATAAGATAGAATTGTTTTGGTTTCCAGAGTCTGTTAAAATTCAATTAATCATCTTTACAGTCAATTCTAAATATATTTTTAATATATGTTTTTTTTCTTACCGTCTTCTGATATTACTTTTGAAATTACTTATTTCAGTTGCTTCTGCAGAACAAACAAAATTCCCATGAACTAATTTCAACGTTTTCATCTCGCTCCAACAGTGAGCCAGTGCCCTAAATAAGAGTTTTTGTTGCTCTTGGCAAACACACTTTCTCAAAAGCAGAAGCTTCCAATTTAGACTGGTTAGGGTTTCTGAGGAGCGACTGGTGGGTTTGAACTGCCAACCTTTTGGTTAGCAGCCAAGTGCTAATTGCCAACTGCACTACCAGGGCTCCGTAGTAGAGCATGTAACTGCATGTTATTCCGAATGGATTATGTTAACAGTTAGCGTTAGTATCAACTACACTCAGCGCTAAAACTGGGCTGAACAGAAAAGCTGTTTCCTAGCTCAGCAAATTCATCTTTGTTGTTGAAGTTGGGCCTCCTTACTGTAGCTCTGTGTGCATGTGCTTCTTCTCAGGGTGTTGTACGTTGAGACACACTGTGTATGGTTCACCACTGTGATTTACATAAGCATGTATTAGGTTTGCATTTAAGGAATGATGCTACGTGTTTAGGAATTCTGCCTCTTATATCTGAGTCCTGGTTTGGCTTGAGTGAAGGACTATTTCTGGGCTGGCCAGACCCTCACGTTGATTGACCCTGGCAGTTTTACTACTTTGGAATGACTTTTTGTGCCAGAAGACCAGTACCTCTTTTTCTGTTTTACATCCATCTTTCCTGTCTTTCCTCATTCCAACCCATATTGTTTCTGAGATGGAAGACCATCATTGAGAGATGCTAATTGACCGGTTAGCTTTTTCCTCACGCAGGTGTTTCAAGGGTTCTTTGATGTTTGATTTTTTTCCTGCTGTAATAATTATTTATGTGCTTTGGCTGAAAGCACCTAAATCCTTATTCCCTGGCATTCTAGGGCAGAGCCTGCTTGCATTTCTAAGGAAGTGGTTATCGTTTATGGTAATCATTTAGGCCCAGGGGGATTTGTTTTGTTTTGCATTTAGTACAGGGTTTGAGTTCCAGTTCGGCTATTGGTTAGCCTTGTGAGCTGAGGCAAATCACTTACCCTTTCTGCACCACATCTGTAAAATAGGGGCAATAGTGTCTACCCTGTAGGGTTGTGGGAACACTATGGGTTAAGCATTGGGCTGCTACCCACAGGGTCAGTGGTTCAAACTCACCAGCCACTCCATGGGAGAATGATGATGCTCCTGGAGAGGTTCGGAGCCTCAGAAACCCTAAGGAGCAGTTCGATTCTGTCCTACAGGGTCGCTAGGAGTCGGAATTCACTACATGCATGTGGGTTTGTTTTTGGTGGATTTTATTAGGAGCTCTGATAGCATGGTGGGTTTACGGGTCAGGCTACTAACCGCAAGGCCAACATTTTTAATCTACCGGCTGTAGCACAGGAGAAAGAGGAGGCTTTCTGCTCCTTGGAAACCCTATACGGTGTCGCTGTGAGTCGGGACTGAGTCCACGGCACACGCTACCACCAGAGAGTTGTAAGGATTGCGTTAATAAAGTGGAATATGATTAGAACAGTGACTGGCACATAGTGTTTTGTAAGCATTAGCTACTTCTATCATTGTCCTTAGTACTATCTTTTGTGCTATAATCTGATGTTATTAAGTGGAGCAGATGGGAGGGACTTTTCTCACTTTGTTTTTTCCAGAAGTCTTGGTCTATTCGATGTGTAAAGTCTCTTCCTAATTGATTTGCAGTCGGGTATGTGGAAATATCTGAGACCATTTTGGTGTGGGAGAGAATCAGACACGGGTGTGCTCGGCCACAGACACATTTCCTGTTAGCAGGCCCTGCCAGCCACAGAGGACCTGCCACCAGGGTGCAACCCATGGTGAGCTGCCCCTCACGTGGCTGTCTACATTATTTGTGACTTTCAGTAACCAGTGTCACACTGGAAAGCCCCCATGTTGGTAGTGCATCTTCAAATTGAAAGAGCTTCTAAAATCCTGACATACTATCCAGACCTAGCTGCTGGCTTATGCACATAGTGGTAGAGTTAAAAAGACATTTTTTTATTTCAGCGTTTGTGCCAAGCTGTCTTTGAGTGCTTCACAGGATCTTTTCTGTTTTATAAATTACCTCATGGTCAGATGACTACAAATGGAGCTATAAATGGCTTCTGCAAGGAATGGCACAAGGACAAGTCCTTTCCTACCATGTAAAAAGACAGAGCTATTGTCAGAATTCAGATTAACTTAAACACCTAGACCACAGTTAGGGTTCAGTCGTGAATTCATTCTTTTTGGTTGAAACTGGGGTGAGTGGAGGCAACTGGGGACTAAGGACCCCCTTCACATAATTAAAAGACAAGAGCTTCAAGAGAATACCTCATTGTCTTTCTCGTTGTGCTTTGGTAGCCACAGATGCCAAGGCTCACGCTGCAATGTTTGACACGCTGAAGGACTGGTGTTGGGAGCTGGAGCGGACCAAAGGCAGCGTGAAGTACAAAGCAGTGAGGGTCAATGAAGCGTACAAAGTGTCTGAAAGGTAAGCATTCAGCTCCGTACTTTACTGAGATACGGCTCACAAGCCCTAGAGCTCAGTCACTGAACACACACAGTGTTTCCGGTGTACTCACAGCCCTGGCAACTCTTGGCGCAGTCAACTATAGGACATTTCCATTACTCCAGAAAGAAACCCTGAACCTATTAGCAGTCAGTCATTTCTTCCCATCCTCCCCCTCTCCTGAAGCCTTTGCTAGTGTTGTTGTTGTGAAGTGCCTTCAACTTGATTCTGACTCATAGCCACCCTGTGTAGGGTTTTCAAGGAGCAACTGGTGGGTTTGAACCAGTGGCCTTTTTCCTAGTAGTCCAGAGCTTACCCTACAGCGCCACATCAGGACTCCAGTAAATGCTTTTGTTGTTGTTACGTGCCACTGAGTCTGTTCCAACTCATAGCAACTCTGTATAGGATTTCTGAGGAGCAGCTGGTGGGTTTGAATTGCTCACCTTGTGGTTCGCAGTCCAGCAGTGGTGATCCTGCAGCACCATGCCGGGACACCCAGTAAATGCACAACAAAATCACCATGGGGTAGGGAGCCGTGGAGGGGCTGGGGGGGTGAGGGGTTGCTCCAAGGGATAGGGGGCCGGATGGGAGCTGAGGGCTAGTTAGTTGGGAAGGCCTCACTGAGTGAGTGACATGGAACAAAAACCTAAAGGAACTGAAGACTTAAGTCTGAAGATACTCGGGACAGAACACGCTCAGTGGACGTTACAGTAGGGACAAGACCCTGAGGTGGAATTGTGTCTAGCTCATGGGAAAAACAACCAGGAAACCCAGAGGCTGGAGAGGAGCCAAAGGGGAAAGAGGAGGAGCGGCTGGGGTGGGAAGGACCCCAGGCTTTCCTAAGGAGTCTCGCTGTCTGACTGGGTTCAGAACAGAGGCGGGTAGTGACCCAATCTATATTTTTAAAGGACGATTCTTCATAATCTGTTTTTAGAAACTTGAATCTTATCATTTTGGAACATGTTCACTAGGTCCCTCCATAGTAGTTTCATGTTTCTGGTAGGCCTCTCCAGGAAGTCAGTTTTGATTTTGGGCAATCTCACACATTTACAGTGTTAACCTCCGTCTCAGTGTGAGGTAGTAAGATAGTTGGGAGGGACCTAGACAATGATCTTATCACCCTGCATGTTACCCCCACCTGTGACGTCACTGTCAGCGCCACTCTGCTCCTCCTCCCTGCTTTCTCAGGTAGAAGGCTGGAAAGGGAAAGCTACCACTTGTTCATAAGGAAGTTGGAAATCCCTGCTTCTAGGAGGCAATGGGGTAGCTGAGACAGCGCAACTGGGAACTGGAAGATTGCTGCTTCTAGCCCACCAGCCACTCCTCAGGAGAAAGTTGTAGCAGTCCGCATCCTTAAAGATTTGTTACTCGAGTTGTTGGGTTCTGTTGACCAGTACAGCACCATCCTCACAGTTCTGGCTGTGTTTGAGCCCATTGTCAGTCCATCTCATTGAAGGTCTTCCTCTTTTTCACTGACCTACGATGTCCTTCCCCAGGGACTGATCCCTCCTGATAGCATGTTCAAAGCACGTAAGATAAAGTCTTGCCACCTTTACTTATAAAGAGCATTCTACCAATACTTCTTCTAAAACCAATTTGTTCGTTCTTCTGATGGTCCATGGTTTATTCTTCACCAACACTGTAATTCAAAGACGTCAGTTTTTCTTCAGCCTTCCTTGTTCAATGTCCCGCTTTTGTTTACACATGCTGTTGTTGTTGTTAGGTGCCATCGAGTGGGTACTGACCCATAGCGACCTGAAGCACAGCAAAATCAAACACTGCCCGATCCTTGGCCAACCTCATTATTGTTGCCGTGTTTGAGTCCATCGATGCTGCCACTTGGCCAATCCATCTCGTTGGGGATCTTCCTCTTTTCCTCTGACCCTCCACTTTACCAAACATGGTATTCTTCTCCAGTGACCGGTCCTTCCTGACAATATGTCCAAAGTATGAGAGACGAAGTTTAGCGATCTTGGCCTCCAAGGAGCACTCTGGCTGCACTTCTTCCAAATCGGATCTATTGGTTCTTTTGGCAGCCCATGGCACTTTCAATATTCTCCTCCAACACCATAACTCAAAAGCATCAATTCTTCTACGGTCTTCCTTATTCACTGTCCAGCTTTCGCATGCATATGAAGTTTTTGGAAATACCATGGCTTGAGTCAGGCGCACCTTTGTCCTCAAGCTGACATCTTTGCTCTTCAACGCTTTAAAAAGGTCTTGTGCAGCAGATTTGCCTAATGCAATACGTCGTTTGATTTCTTGACTACTGCTTCCATGAGTGTTGATAGTTGATCCAAGAAGAATGAAGTCCTTGACAACTTCAATCTTTTCTCCGATGATAAGAATATTGTTTATTGGTCCAGTGGTGAAGATTTTTACTTTCTGTACATTGAGATGTAATCCATACTGAAGGCTGTGCTCTTTGATCTTCATCAGTAAATGTTTTAAGTCCTCTTCACTTGCAGCAAACAATGTTGTATCATCTGCTTATAATAAGTTGTTAATGAGTCTTCCTCCAATCCTGATGCCACGTTTTTCTTCATAGAACCCAGCTTCTCGTATTATTTGCTCAGCGTACAGGTTGAATAAGTATGGTGAAAGACTACATACAACCTTGTTGCACAGCTTTCTTAATTTTAAACCACTCAGTGTTCCCATGTTCTATTCGAACAACTGCTTCTTGATCCAGGTACAGATTCCTCATGAGCACAAATAAGTGTTCTGGAATACTCATACTTTGCAATATTGTCCATAGCTTGTCATGAGCCACACAATCGAAAGCCTTTGCGTAGTCAATAAAGCACAGGTAAACATCTTTCTGATATTCTCTGCTTTCAGCCACATGAGGTGACTTAAAATACACAGATTGGGCTAGGCATGCCTTACTGAGACCTCAAAGTGACATCTTTCCTTTTTAACACTTTAACAAGATCTTTTGCTGCAGATTTGCATAATGCAATACATTGTTTTATTTCCTGAGTGCTGCTTCCATAGATGTTAATGGTGGGTCGGAATAAAATGAGATCCTTGACTATGTCAGTCTTTTTCTGTGTGTCAAGATGTTGCTTATTGGTCCAATTGTGAGGATTTTTATTTTCTCTATGTTGAGGAGTAATCCATGCTGAAGTCTTTGACCTTCATCAGTAAGTGCTTTAAGTCCTCTTTGATTTTAGCAACCAAGGTTGTGTCATCTGCATATTGCCAGTTGTTAGTGAGTCTTCATTTAATCCTGATTCCACTTTCTTTTTCACTGTTGCTATGTGACAAGAAATACGTCTACATTTTGGTTTCAGAATTCATATACTTTAGTTTTTGTTAGGTGTTATCAAGTTGGTTCCAACTCATAGTGACCCCATGCCCAGCTGAACATAACACTGCTCAGTCCTGGGCCATCCTCACAATTGTTGCTTCGTTTGAGCCCATTGATGCTAAATCCATCTCCTCGGAGGTCTTCCTCTTTTTTGCTGACCTTCCACTTTTCTAAACATGATGTCCTTCTCTAGGGGTTGGGTTCTTCTAACAACATGTCCGAAGAACTAGAGATGTAGCCTTGCCATCCTGGTTTCTAAGGAATGTTCTAGCTGTGTTTCTTTACAAGACAGATTTGTTTGTTCTTCTGGCAGTCCATGGTACTTTCAGTATTCTTCATCAACACCATAATGTATCTGTATCTATTCTTCTCTGGTCTTAATTGTCCGACTTTCACATGCATATGAGGCTATTGAAAATACCTTAGCTTCGATCAGGTGCCCCTTAGTCTTCAAACTGACATCTTTGCTCTTGAACACTTTAGATAGGTCTTGTGCAGCAAATTTGCCTAATGCAGTAAGTCATTTGACTTCTTGACTGCTGCTTCTGTGAATGTTGATGGTTGATCCAAGGAAAATTAAGTCTTTGACAACTTCAATCTTTTCTGCATTTATAATAATGTTACTTATTGGTTCAGTTGTGATAGCTTTTGCTTGCTTTATATTGAGGTGCAATCCATACTAAAGGCTGTAGTCTTTGGTCTTCATCAATAAATATTACAAGCCCTCTTCCAGTAAGCAAGGTTGTGCTGTCTGCTTATTACAAGTTGTTGATGTATCTTCTTCAATCCTGATGCCGTGTTTTTCTTCATATAATCCAGCTTTTCAGATCATTTGCTCAGCATACAGACTGGATGAGTATGTTGAAAGAATACAACATACCTTTCGTGGTTTTAAGCCACTCAGTATCCCCTTGTTTGGTTCTAACGTTTTGGTCTATATACAGTTTCCTCCTGAGCACAGGTAAGTGTTATGGATTTTCCATTGTTTGCAGTGTTATCCATAGTTTGTTATGTTTCCACACAATCAAATGTCTGTCCATAGTCAATCAAGCATAAGTGAGTATCTCTCCTGTATTTTCTTCTTTTCGCCAGAGCCATCTGATGTAAACAATGATATCCCTAGTTCCAGGTCCTCTTCTGAATCCTGATTGAATTTCTGGCAGCTCCCTGACAGTGTACTGCTGCAACCATTTTTAAATTATCTTCAGGAAAATTTTAGTTGCATATGTTATTAATTATATTGTTTGATGATTTCCACATTGCGTTGGGTCACTTTTCATCTTCTGACACTATACTTGACAGTGTTCCACTGCTATTTGTAAGGTTTCCAGTGGCTAACCATTCAGAAGTGGTCTGCCTCTCCTCCTTCCTAGTGTGTCTTAGTCTGCAGGTTCCACTGAAACCTGGCCACCATGGGTGACCCTGCTGGTATTTACAGTACCATTAGCATAGCTTCCAGTCTCACAGCAACACACAAGCCACCACTGTACGCCAAACTGACAGATGAGTGGTGGTCACACACTTTTAAATATCGCTTATTCCAACCTTCTCATTTTACAGCTAAGGAAACAGACTCAGGCAATGGAGTGACTTACTTAGAGTTCTGCAGAATTTGAGAGGACTAGAATTTGAACTTGGAACCCTGGTGTAACGCTGCAGAATAAACACTGAACCTCATGGTCAGCAGTTCACACCCACCAGCTGTTCCTCAGAAACCCTATACGGGGTCTCTGAAACGGAACCAACCCAATGGCACTTACCAACAACAGCAGCAGCAACAAGAATTTGTATTCAGATTTCCCAACTGAATTGGCCGGAGTACTCTACACTCGCCTTAGCTAGATAGTCCCCTGAGCTGGTGCGTCTTCTCAGGAAAATACGGTGCTTGTCATAACTCTGCTTGGCTTCCTTGTGCTCGATGAATTTGAGCTTTCATATTTAGTGGACTAACTGTATAACTAAAGTGTGGGTGTCATTGCTTTCCTCTAGGTTGCCAGCATGCTTGGTTGTTCCCATCTCACTTCCTGAAGAGGATATTCCACGCTTTCATGGTCACGGCATACCAGTAAGTGTGTATGGGAGCCCTAAGTGACTCCCATGGATTGCTCAGTGACCTACTTTGGCAAAATAATCTTCCTTAAAGCCTCTGGCTCTGGTACTAGAAAACTTGATTTCAGTCCAAGAGTGATCTGAAAATATCCCCGGGACTCCCCAGAGATGGCACCGAAGCCTATGAGGCTCCCCGGGACAGAATTAGAAAGTTTTCACAAATGCACTTGAGTTTTGAGCAGAGATATTTTAAAAAGCTTTAAGAGGATTACAGATCTACCTTGTGTTGAAAGCCCAATTTAACACCTAACTCATTTCAAAGTGGAGCCCACTATTTTAAGGGTAGTGGGACGTCAGATTCCTTTTGGCTGCGCTCTAAATCTTTGCGGGGGTGCGGCCGAGTTTTCTCCCAAAGAACATGGAGTGCTTGCTTAGTTTCCACATAAGAGAATGGGACAGGAGCCACATTTAATGTGTCACTGATCAAAGAAAGCAAGACTTTGGCAATAACTCCAGTTTCTAACTGGTGGCTGGGAGTTGCCAAGCCTGCAGGGAATTCAGTAAGGAATGAGAAGGACAAATAAATGCTGTGCTAAGCACTGTGTTGGCACAGCATAAAGGTCACTCCCAAAGGGGAGGAGGACTGTGTCGGCAGCAATCACATACCCAGGAGTCAGTGGACCTGAGACCCCTCTGTTTGATCGAAGGAGGCAGCTGCTCATTAACACCAGCTGGTTTGTTACACCTGGGAATATGGGCCTACTGGTGGTTGGTTGTGTCAGAAGAAGCCAGAAGTAAAAATTTTTATGAGTTTTTCCCAATTTCTAATTATGTTCATCACTAATTTAAATGGTTAAAAAATAAATAAAACCAACGTGTCTTTGGGCTGCAGTTGGCTCATACCCTACCAGTTTGCAGCCTTTGATTCAGAGCAGTGTTCTCAAACTTTGGATGTAAGGCTCTTTATGCTTTTATAAAGGAGCTCTGGAAGCGTAGTGGTTACAAGTCAGGCTGCTAACCCCAAGGTCAGTAGTTCAAAACTACTGGCTGTTTCGCGGGAGGAAGATGAAGTTTTCTGCTCCCGTAAAGATTTACAGCCTCGGAAACCCTGTACAGGGTCGCTATGAGTCGGAACCGGCTCCACGGCACATAACCACCATCACCACCACCACTGCTTTATAAACTGTTGAGCCACTCAAAGAGCTTTTCTTCATGTGATTGTATCTATTAATGTTTGCCATATTCACAATTAAAACAGAAGAGAATTTTAAACATTTGTTTACCTAAATAAAATTTCTAACGTGTTAGCATTACTAACCTATTTCTCTGGAAATTAATTGTACTTAAAAAAAATAAAAAAAGCTTTTTTGCATTTTCAAAAGTGGAAGAGAGCTGGATTCTCATATTTTTCTTGATTCAGTCTCTTGTGGTATGTCAGGTTTGGCTGAAGAGCAAGAAGAAAATGTGACCTCACACAGATACGTAATTGAAAATGGGAAGACTGTTTACTAGCCTGTGCAGATAATTGTGACTGTTATCCTTTGATGGAAACCAAACTGCTGAGAAGTGGCAGTGTCATGAAAGTTCATTTCAATAAGGAATCTGAAGCCATATCAGTGGACAGTTCATTCTGCGTCACATTAAAATCTGGGCTCAATTGTATACTTTAAATTGATCTGAAAACATGCACGATTTTGTAATATGCATTAGTCCCTTGGAAAGCAATAGTTCTCTGGGTTACACAGATCTTCCAAATATTGACACATTTTACTGTGTCATAGCATATGAATATAAAATCATAATCATTAATGTTACCCCATTGTACCAGAAACGTCTTTAAATATTGGGACCCTTTCTAGCTAACGTGGTAGATATGATTCTTCCAAAATTCTAGTTCTTGCATTAAAAGCTCAATTTTGTCAGTGGCAACAATTTGTCCATTGTTGTCAAGTGACTGGCACACTTTATTTATTGATTTATTTTTTGGGAAAATACCTGGCAGATGTCAAGGTCTGAGCACCCGTAGTTTTTCTGTCAGTCGGTCTTTTAATTCCATGAAAAAAAGCAGCTCGTTCCCCTCTCAACTCCAGCAGTTACTTATGTGCTTTTCCTTGAGACAAATATTGTACTTTAGTGTTTGCTTCTCATTTCATCACACAGAACATTAAACATCCATTTCCTGGTCAGGATTAAGAAAATGAATGATGTCCAGGCCTTCTTCCAGGACATTTACAAGTGAAACAGAATTGTTTTTTGTTTAATTGCTAGTCCGTGGCCATGCAGAACACAGTTCCTATGTAAAACTGGACCATGATTTGTGCAAAAGTGCCAACACTTTTGTCCACTATTACTTTTTTTTTTTTTTGCAAGTAATGAAGCAAATTTTTTTAATGAGCCTTTTGAACACACTACAAATAAAAGACATTGGAGATCACCAGTACTATTACATCAGAGTGTCGTTGTTAGAAGCCATCAAGTCAGTACCGACTCAGAGTGACCCTTTGCACAACAGAAGCACTGCCCAGTCCGCACCAACCTCACAATTGTTGCTATGCCTAAGTCCATTGCTGCTGCCACTGTGTCAGTCCATCTCGCTGGAGGGCTTCCTCTTTTTCTCTGACCGCCCCCACTTTACCACACATGATATCCTTCTCCAGGGACTGGTCCCGCCTGAAAATATGTCCAAAGTGTGAGAGATGAAGTCTGGCTATCTTGGCTTCTAAGGAGCATTCTATCTGTACTTCTTCCAACACAGACTGGTTTGTTGTTTCAACAGGCCACAGTACTTTCAATATTCTCTGTCAGCACCATAACTCAAATGCATCAGTTCTTCTATGATCTTTATTCTGTGTCCAATTTCCACCTGCATATGAAGTTATTGAAAATACCATGGCTTGGGTCAGGCTCATTTTAGTCCTTAAACTGACATCTTTTTCTTCAACACTTTAAAGAGGTCTTGTACAGCAAATTTGCTGCATGCAGTGCATCGTTTGATTTATTGACTGCTGCTTCCATGAATGTTGAGGGTTGATCAAAACAAAAGGAAATCTTTGACAACTTCAATCTTTTCTACATTTATCTTGATGTTATTTACTGGTCCAGTGCTGAGAAATTTTGTTTTCTTTATATTGCAATGCAACCCATACTGAATGCTGTGATTTTTGATCTTCATCAGTAAGTATTTTAAGTCTTTTTGGCTTTCACCAAGCAAGGTTGTTTCATCTGAATATTGCAGGTTGTTAATGAGTCTTCCTCTACTCCTGATGCCATGTTTTTCTTCATATAATCCAGCTTTTCATATTATTTTCTTAGAGAACAGATGGAATACATATGGTGAAAAAATCTAAACCTAGAGCACACCTTACCCAGTTTTAAGCCATTCAGTGTTCCTTTTGTATCTTCAAACAACTGCCTCTTGGTCTATGTACAGGTTCCTCATAAACACAATTAAGTGTTCCAGAATATTCGTTCTTCACAATGTTGTCCATAGTTTGTAATGATACACACAATCAAAAGCCTTTTTTGTAGTCAATAAATTACAGGTAAACATCTCTCTGGTATTCTCTGCTTTCAGCCAAGATCCATCGGATATCAGCAATGATATCCCTCATTCCATGGCCTCTTCTGATTCCTGCTTAAAATTCTGGAGTTCTCTATCAGTGTATATTGTAGCTTGTTTTGTATTATCTTCAGCGAAATGTTACTTGCATGTGATATTAATGATATTGCCCAATGATTTCTGCATTCCTTTGGGGCACTTCTCTTTGGAATGGGTACAATTGTGTATCCTTTCCAGTCAGTTAACCATTTTTCTTGGCAGAAATTTCTTGTGACCAAATTTCTTGGCACAGATGAGTGAGTGCTGCCAGTGCTTCATGAGTTTGTTGAAAGATTTCAATTTGTATTCCATCAGTTTCTAGAGCCTTGTTCTTTGACAATTCCTTCAGTGCACATTGGACTTCTTCCTTCAATATCATTGGCTCTTGATCATATGCTACCTCTTGAAATAGTTGAGCATGGACCATTTCTTTGGGGTACAGTGACTCTGTGTTCTTTCCATTTTCTTTTGATGCTTTCTGCATCATTCAATACCTTGCCCATTGAATCCTTCAATATTTCAAGTCAAGGCTTGAATTTTTTCTTCAGTTACCTCAACTTGAGAATTGCTTAGCATGTTCTCCCCTTTTGGTTTTCCAACTCCAGGTCTTTGCACATTATAATATTTGATTAAGTATTTTTCCCTATTTAATCGTCAGAAATAATTTCTGTCATGCATATTAATGTAATCTTACTTGGTAAAATAGTGCTTTTTTAAAATACAGATATATATTCCCAAAGAAGAGATGGTGGAGTCTTGCTCGTTTCTAAACTTTGTAAAAATGCTATGATCTAATTGACTGCACCATATTGTTGGTTTTTTTATTCAATATGTGTTCATTTTAGTCATTAAAAATTTGTGTATGAAAGTTTTAAAAAAAAAATCATCAAATAGGAACAATCCAGATGTCCACCCAGAGAAGAAAACTGATTATATTTTTTTGAAATATTTTCCTAAAAGAATATCATACAGCAATAAAAAAATATGGCTGATTACAATGATAGTGAATATGTCATATTATCCACTTTGAAAATTGTAAGATAGACAAATATTATAAACAATGCTTTTTAAGATTCTGTTAGTTAAGTAAAAAGCTACTAACAACATTCTCTTTACTAAAACAATATGTCTGGGAAGGTTTTGCAATTATGAACAGGAAAGAGAGTCTTCAGTGAGAAAGAGCCCTTTCTACCAGGTGCATATGTTTTTATTTCTCCTACTTAGAGTTGCTCAGTTACCACCGTCACTAGCTGGCAAGAGATGCCTGCCTCTCCTTCTTTAAGGCTCATCATGTATTACAAAATTCTGTGTGCAGTAGGTAGGGCTCAGGAACAAAGGCCAATTCTATTAAAATTAAAGGATCACCTGATTCAATTCATGGGGATTCTAGTATTTTATTTCAATAAAAGAAGCCTGCT